TGTCTCCTCCTGATTTAGTATGTTTTTCCTGGCTGTTAATCAGTTTCTTGATATGTTCCAAACTGGATAACCTCTTGTAACTGAAGAAGGTAATTCATTCAGATTAGAAATTTCTGATAACCAGTAATAAGCAGGTGTTTCCTGTCAGTTACCGCTTGGGACTCTCTCTTGATTTACACAACTAAAAGAATACTTTGAAGATGCTAAACTAAGGGTATAAAAATGCAGTAAAACAGCAAACAGCACGTGCGCTCCGAGAGGGAGAAATCTAACACCGGTTGCTGATGCACCTGACTTGCTTGAGAAGTTGTAGAGAAACAGACTGCCTCTTTCTCGCACGTTTGGCGAGAAATCATCACGTTATAGCTAATTATGGGACTTTGATTTGGTTTGGGCTCACTTGACTTGATTTTAAATACTTGTAGTAAATAAAGCCTTTCTGTCACTCATCAAACGTGGTGTCGTGTCAATCCCTGGGCTAGTTCGGAATCCTAGATTTTTATGTGCTAAAACTCGCTGTTTAGGCAACGGGCAGGGAGTTCTGGCAGCCCCCCTGCAAGCGCTGGCTGGGGATCAGAGTGCCACTGCGCTCCCTGAAGCAGCTGCAGCCACTCCCGGAAGCGGCCACAGCCACTTCCACAAGCGGCTGCAGTGATCAGCTGTCTTGCGATGGGCCGCAGGGGGATCCCCCCGCCCCTCTGGCTGGCAGGATTGGCCATGGGGGACCCCCTCCCCCCGTTGCTGACTGGTCGCTGGAGGGGCATGTGCCACCCCTGACTTAGGCGGCACCAGTTGCCCATGCTCTTCTAGTTTGCTTTTGGATGGATTCCAACATCATGGTACTAATCTTTATCAAAGAAGGATTCAGGTGCCTTCAATCTAAAAAGAGTGTGTGTAATTTACCGTGTTCTTTGGCTGGACGTTTATGCTTCTCAACACGACTGGCTGTTTTGGCGCCCTTTTGGGAGGACAGCTTGGCGTGCCATTTCTAGCCTACAAGGGTACTGAACGTTCTCTTCTGCCCCGACTTGATATTTCAAATTCTGGTAAGGGAGGGTGGTCTCGTACCCTTTAACATTGGCCCTCAGCCAGACCTGCTGCCATCCCTTGGGGCTGCGCCTCCCCTACACCTCACCTAGTGCTAACCCAACATTGAAGCTCCTTGTCCAATAGGTTGAGGCAAACAGCCTTCTGAAGCGTTTCTAGCTGTAACACTCAAAACAAAACACAGTGTCCCAAAACAAAACTATAAATGAGCAGTCCTTCTGCAACAGTAAAGCATATGCCTTTGCCCATGATGTCCCCACTCCGTGGGGTAGTAAAGGGGCTGAGAAAACAGTTACTATGGCTCAGTGCCCCATTTACTCATGATTCTAATGTTCTCTTATGCTTTCTCTTTTAGGCTCCTTGTCATCCCAGATCCAGTCATCTAGTCTTGTCTGCCAGGCCAGCACTTCAAGAAAGTTCTCTGGCTTCTCCAAGCCAGCATTTGATAGGGCTTCCACCAATCGCCCCTGCTGGGGCATGCTGTGCCTGCGCTTCTTTCTCTCCTGCCCCAGAAAATCACTTCCAATTCCCCTGGGGTTTTCCTCCAGGCTGTTCTTGTCTCCCAGCTCAGGTTTCACCCACTCAATCGGCATCGGCATACGCTCATAAAGTGTGCCTATGCTGGTTCATCTGGTGAAAATTTGACCCCTCATTGCATGAGGTACCAAATACAGGCAAACCCCACTTAGCGCTCTTAATTACTTCCTGAAAAAAATAGTGTTAAGCAAAAGGAGCATTAAGTAAAACCTAAAGTATCTGAGAATCTAAGGCGGTGACTGCAAGTGTTTTTAACGACTTAAGATGGTGACTGTGAGCATTACAGCGAAACTTGCTGAGCGCTAAGTGAAATCAGGTATCAATTTAAAATGAGCATTCTAGCACTAAGTGAAACAGCATTCAGCAGGCTTTGCCTTTAACGACGTTTCAAAATGTTGTGTCTTTTATAACTTGTCTTGGCTGAACTCCTAGCCTGTGGCTGTTTTCAGAATGGGAAGCGGGGAAAGGGAGCACGCATCAGTCGGGGTTTTTTTCAGCCCCCACACCCAAGGTGAGGCAGGTATATTATAACCCCCAGCTACGCGGAGGCTCCAATTCACCCACCCCACTATTCAGCGGGGGCTGGGGAGCCCCTGTAAGGAGCTCCTTCCCTGCCTTTCCCCCCTCCCATTCTGAAACCAGCGAGCACGGGCAGAGAGCCTGGCTGTTGCTATGGGAACCTGGCTGCAACTCCCCCAGCTAGATTCCTCTCCCCCTGGAACCAACAACAGCGCACTTCTGTCTGGTCGGGGTAACGCTGTAACTCTGAGCGCTTTGCAGAACAGGCTCGAATTACAGCTGGGAGCTGCACCTCTGTCTGAACCCCAAGGTGCTTATGCCCGATTTCAGCTAACTGCCGCCGTTGGGTAGTTGTAAACCAGTGCCTGAGCAGGTTGTAGCTCCTAAACGAGACTGAGCGTCTCCGGAGCGAGACCCCAAACTAGTCACAACCCCGCGAACGCGCTCGCTGAGAACCCGCAGGGTGGGGGGAAGACTTTTTACTGGGCACCCGGGGGCTCTAGCCACCCGCTGACGCTGGTTGGCTTATTTCCCCGTCCAACAAGCAGTCGCCGAGGCCTATTGGCCGGCAGGGTCCCGCCCCCCACGCCAGCGCCGTGGCTCGAGGCGGCCCGCGCGCGCGACCCGCGTCTCAAGT